ATTAGCGAAAAACAACCAGTGGAAACAGAAGAAAATGTCAATAAGGACAACAGTACGTCCAAAAATTTGATAGAAGACAATTCAACTTCGAATCACCAACCCAACGAACGAAAAAAGGACGAAATTAAAACTACTGAAACGAAACGCAATGAAAATGATGAGGAAACAGTAATTAAAAACAGTGACAAAAAGGAAATTAGCGAAAAACAACTAGTGGAAACAGACGAAAATGTCAATAAGGACAACAGTACGTCCAAAAATTTGATAGAAGACAATTCAACTTCGAATCACCAACCCAACGATCGAGGAAAGGACGAAATTAAAACTACTGAAACGAAACGCAATGAAAATGATGAGGAAACAGTAATTAAAAACAGTGACAAAAAGGATATTAGCGAAAAACAACCAGTGGAAACAGACGAAAATGTCAATAAGGACAACAGTACGTCCAAAAATTTGATAGAAGACAATTCAACTTCGAATCACCAACTCAACGAACGAGGAAAGAAAGAAATTGAAACTACTGAAACGAAACGCAGTGAAGATGCTGAGAAAACAGTAACTAAAGACAGCGACAAAAAAGAAAATAACGAAAAACAATTAGTGGAAACTGAAGAAAAACCCAGTCAAGACAACAGTATGTTCAAAAATCTGATAGAAGGCTGCGCAACTTCGAATCTTCCAAACAACAAACAAGGGAATGAAGACACTAAATCTTCTGACACCAAACCCAGTGAAAATAACGAGAAAACAGCAATTAAAGACAAGAACAAAAAAGAAAATACTGAAAAACTATTAGCGGAAGACAACAGAACGTTCAAAAACCTGATAGAAGGCAATGCAACTTCCAATGATCAAACCAATGAACGAGAAAAAGAAGACATTAAAAGCACTGAGACAAAAGCCAGTGAGGCTAATAAAAAACCATTAATTAAAAACAGTAACAAAATGAAAAACAGCGAAAAACAATCAGTGGAAACAGGAGAAAAACCTAATAAAGATAAAAGTACGTTGAAAAATCTGATAGAAGACAATTCAACTTTGACTCATCAAACCAGCGAACGAGGAAAGGAAGAAATTAAAACTACTGAAACGAACCTCAGTGAATATAATGAGAAAACAATAATTAAAGGCAGCGGCAAAAAGGAAAATAACGAAAAACAATCTGTGGAAACTGAAAAAGAATCCAATGAAAACAAGAATACGTACAAAGTTGTTATAGAAGACAATTCAACTTCCAATCATCAAACCAAAGAACGAGAAAAGGAAGACATTAAAACTGCTGAAACAAAACCCAGTGAAGATAATGCAAAAACATTAATTAAAGACAGAAGCAAAAATTTAAAGAGTGAAAAACAATCAGATCTGATAGAAGAGAATGCAACATCCGATCATCAAACCAACGAACGAGAAAAAGAAGACATTAAAACTTTTGAAACGAAACTCAGTGAGGCTAATAAAAAAACATTAAAGAAAGACGAGGACAAGAAAGGAAATTCCGAAAAACTATTAGCGGAAGCCGAAGAAGAATCCCGTAAAAACAAGAGTACGTCCAAACACCTGATAGAAGACAGCGCAACTTCCAATAATCAACTAAACAAATCAGAAAACATTAAAACTACTGAAACAAAAGCCAGTAAGGCTAATGGAAAAATCTTTATTAAAAACAGTGACCAAACGGAAAAGAGCGGAAAACAAAGTGCGAAAACTGAAGAAAAATCCAATACAGACAGCAGTTTGTCCAGCTCCCGAAGAGACGACAACGCAACTTCCAATAGAGTTAGCAAAAATTGCGAAATGAATAATGATAGAAAAGCAAGTGTCTTAGATGTAAAACGTGCTGATGCACCACAACAATCGAATAATCAGCCTTTTCGTAAGCAAACAAACGTTTCTTCCTTGACTGAATCAGTTGCTGTTTCTTCTTTACACAATGAGAATACCGCTTCTACTAGTGCACTAAGCAAATATAATTCAACTGCATTAAACCGATTGGATATTGCTTGCATTAACAATGAAAATAAATTAGCTGAAAAGGATATAAGTAAAAAACATGTTATTTCTAAAGATGAGACTTCTCTATTTCTTAATCTGACCTGCAAGCTCCAAATCATAACGAATCAAATATCCAAAAAACTTGAAAAAGTTGCTATTTTGGACGCATATACACCTACGGGCAAAAAAAACACACTCTTGGCAAAACTTATAAGACAAGCAACCATAATCCTAGAGTCCAACGAACAAACAATGCTAAGTCTCACTTCAACCCTTGATCGTCAAATGCGTACAGCAGAGAACGATTTAAAAGTCTTTATAGAAATGATAGCAAATGGTAGGGCAAAAAATACGTCCGATGCAAACATATGTTCCAATGCATCTCGAAGCGATTCTGGCAAAACCCAAAAGGCACAAACCGCACAAGGTCCATTCGATAAACTGGAAGAACTACAGCAATTGTTTGCCACGCTATTCACCAAGAAAAACAAATTAAAACCATTGGAAAGGAGAGAGAGAATTATAATAACTGGGAATATATTAGACTATTTTATTCCATGCTTGGTAAGTATGTTGTTAAATCAATATCAAACGAAGGACAATAAACGGGACAATCATCAATCCAACGCACGAGAAGGGCAAGACATTACAACTGCTGGAACTAAACCCAATGAAGATGATGCGGATACATTAATTGAAGACAGCAAAGGCAACAGCGCGTCCAAAGATCTGATAGAAGACAATGCAACTTCCAACATAATGAGCAAAAAAGATACAATTAATAATGATGAAAAAGCAAGCACCTTAAATGCAGAACGTGCCCAACCACAATCTTTCTTGGGTGAATCTATTTCTGTTTCGTGCCTGAAAGATGCCAATAGCGTTTCAACTAGTTTGGAAAACAACGAAGCCCAAGCACAAGGTACAGATTCACAAGAAAATCAAACAAAAAAGCTCAAAATAAGAAACGTAACACTTTGTCATGAAGATTTAGATGAAGATCCAGACTCACAAATGTTAAGAATTTTTGAAAATGAGACCATACCAACTGAACTTGAAAGTGTAGAAGAAGAATCTGAGATTGATCAGTTGCGTAATAACTCGAGTGACGATAATTCAGACGATCAAGACGAGCCTCTTTTTAAACTATCCGAAACGCTGCCAGAATTGTATGGCACGGAAATATCAACAAGTCAGGAAGTCTTTGATGACAATATCGATAAAGAAATCACTGATACCAAGAACAAAGACACAGAGAAACAATTAGGCGAAAATAAAGCACATTCCGATATATATCAATCGATTTTGCAAATAGTGAACAGTCACGAGGTTGAGATTGTAACTTCCGAACAAGGGGTTCAAAACACCCACTTTAACAATGATGATGAATTACTTAACTTGACAAAACAGCCAAACGATGAAAATGTAATTCCCATGCTACTTTCATTTGAGGACATATCGAAAGCTCTAAAAAATTCACAAAGGAAACGAGCTAAAATTGCTTATTTATTGGACAACCTATGTGAAGCTTTGAAACGCCCCTCCAATGCAGAAGAAACCATGAGCCAAGCAATATCAATTTTTACAGAATCTAATTCTGCAACTGAACCCTTACCCACCACCGAACTTGAGTCAAGTCAGTTGCTTCAGCCCCAAGCAAGCGAAGATATCCAACCAAAAGAACCAAAAGATGATATTGCTATGCAGCTCATCTCTAATCAGACTCTTCACAGCCAAATAGAAGCAGATCTAGACAACATGACATTTACTCCTGAAGCATCAGCCATAACGTTCAGGCAAAAATATGAATATGACCCGGACAATCAAATAGAAAAAACTGAAGCAACTGAAAGCATAAGTGACGATACTTTGGTGGAAAACGATCAGGAAGAAATCCTTGAACAAGAAACTAAAATATTATGTGATGAAATGATATGTGAGTCTTTAGCGAAACTATTGGAAATTTTATTCATGAATATTGAAAGAAACCAGAATACAATCAGTCTAATCAGACTACTTGCTAGCAAGATGATACGTGTTCAAGAAACAATCAGTCAATGCATAAGCAGCGACGAGATGCTAATGTCAGTTATTATAAGAAAAAAAATGAGGACGTCAAGGATATCATATAAGAGTAAAATTGAGTATATTAAGGATATCATACAAGTTCCCAATATCAAACACCTCATTGGAAAAGAAAAAGAGGAAAGTCTATCAGTAGAACTTGAAAACAGATCCTGCCAATCCAGCGGCTTCTTGGCAATACTGGAAAATGTTGTTTGCAAAATTGTAGATGTACAGAAGTCTGATAAAGCAATAGAAAATATAAAAACCCGAATTAAACTAAATAAAACCATTATTAACTTTCTTATCTCGACTTATTCGCAACTTCTTGGACAAGACATTCCAAAGCCAGAAAAATGCCTAAATTATGAAACGTCTTCCACTGAACTCATTAAACGTGAGTCTGCTGACTGTTTGGGAAAAAATGACCTTAAAGTGACTGAAGAGACGCCTTCAAATCAGCAACTTGATGAAACGACCGAAAAAATCCATCAACAAAAACCAGAAACTGTCGGTGAAAGTAATGAGGAAGTCGAAAGAATCAAGCTTCCACAATGTATTGAAAGTTCAAT